GACCTTAAAAACCTTGGCCTAGAAGGTAGAATGCCTATATTTATAAAAAAAAACTTCCTACAAGATAGATTTAACGTTAGGATGGGAAATATCTTCTCTGAAGAAAAAGAACAAGAAATGGGTGTACCTCAAGGCAGTGTATTGTCTGTCAAGCTATTTAGTATCAAGATAAATGATATTGTAAAAAACATAAATAGCGGAACAGACTGTGCTTTGTTTGTGGATGACTTCCTGATATGTTATAGAACAAAAAACATGAACCATATAGAAAGACAACTCCAGATCTGCCTTGATAAACTCAATAAATGGACCACAGAGAATGGACTAAGATTCTCAAAAAAAAAAAAACGAAATGTGTCCACTTCTGCAACAAACGTAAACTCCACCTTGATCCAGTATTGAAACTCGACCACACCGAAATCCCAATTGTAGATCAATACAAATACCTAGGAGTCATTTTTGACCGCAAACTCTCCTTCATTCCCCATATTAAATACTTGAGAACAAAATGTAATAAAACAATACAATTACTCAGAACCATAGCACACACTGATTGGGATGGAAGCAAAGAAACATTATTGAAATTGTATCGCTCTCTAATCAGATCAAAACTTGATTATGGCTGCTTTATATATGGAGCAGCCAGAAAAACATACATGAAAGAACTAAATACCATACACCACCAAGGACTTAGGCTAGCCCTTGGAGCATATAGCACCTCTCCTGTTGAGAGCCTATATACAGAGGCAAATGAACCATCTCTTAAACTAAGACGTGAAAAACTTGTTCTGAAATATTACCTAAAACTCTCATCATGCCCTCTAAATCCAGCTTTCAGTACTACTTTCCAATCACAGTTCATAGAGTTTTTTCAGTAAAAAAAAAAAAACGTCCATCAAACCTTTTGGTTTACGGATAAAAAAGATCATAGAAGAAAACCAGATACAATACAAATTCACAAATCAATTTTATCTTCTACACGCCACTGGATTATAAAACAACCTAAAGTAATTCTCGACTCTATAAAATATCCGAAATTCAAAACAAATCCAATAGTATACCAATCCGAAATACACAATATAAAAAGTAACTACCCAAACTACCTTTATGTATATACAGATGGAGCTGAAAATAAATTGGATGCACTGCCATTAAAAGATCATAAGAAACAGAAAAGCGAAAATATATAGCTTGAAATATATAATTTGCCAAAATAACCATTATATTAATTTGATACAGACCATCACAATAAATTCATTATTTTCCCAGACTCTTTGTCTGCACTTACTGTCTTATAAAAAAAAAAAAGTTACTTTGAAACCCTTTAACCACAACAAAAACATAAAAAGTACTTAACAGAGTATATCATTTATCAAAAAAAGATAAAGAAATAATATATTTTGTTAGATCCCAAGCCACCTTGGTAAATACATTGGGAAATGACCTGAGGGCATAAGACTCAGAAGCAAAGAAAAGACAGATGAAAGATACAATAGAAAAAACAAAAATATTGTATACCAGCAAAATTATAAAGTCAGATTCAGTTAACCCACCAACAGCTCTGAATAGTTAAAGAAACACAAGAAGTGAAATAATGTATGAGAGGATGCTATTCGCGCCCTATAAAATCATTTTGGATAAATACACTAATAACAAACTACTAATGTTGAAGTGGCGCCACAGATAAGATAAAAGGACTCCTGAAAAAGGACTCTCGTCTGTTGTCTTGGTTAAGAGGATAACTGCGGCTATCGATAGGGAGGCAAAATTTCTTCATAGAGGCAACCTACATTTCCGTACTGCAGAGGAAGAGCAGTAGAGCTGAGTCCATGCTGAGTTGCCTGATCTTCATCTGAAGCCACTTTCGTTGGAATATTGGAGGATCTTTATTTCCGTTCGTGAAGACAAAGTGTGCTGATTTTTCTCTTTTTCAAATAATATTGTTGTTTGCTCCTGTTATCTGGAAAATCATCAGAATGTGGCAAACGGAGATTCATAGAGCAACTGTGTTTTTTATTATCGCAGATTCATTAACTATTGCATATTAAACAATAGGGTTGACATCGAGCCTCTGGTAAGATGTTTTTCGCACCAAATTATATAATACAAAAAGCTTGTCATAACAATTTAAGTTACTTAAAACAAGATTTGCTACCCGAATTCGAAGGTTGGGTATTGTTTGATTATAAGCTCCCTAAAAAAGGTCTCAAACTGTGCGAGCCATTATTCACTCATGGACGTAAGTGAATTGGCCAATGATCCAATTTCTTACTCTTATACAGAACGTGCAAACTTAGTTACAAATGCCTAAATAATAAATAGTCAATTGACTTGTCTTTTTAAGATTTACGAACACATGGCTAAATTTATTGATTTTGTTAAAATCCTTATCACTCCATGCAAGGCAGTAAAGCCACTAAAACACAAGGCGTTACAGGGTGTCGAAGAATTAAGAAGAGAAACATTAATAATGAGCGGGAAGAAGAAAGAGTAATCAGAAGGACAGTAGATAGCGATTGACACTGCATTTAAATTTTAAAGTTGTCTGGAAAGCATGAAGCCGGAAGGAAGTTTGTTGCAGAATTTATGCTAAGTAAGATGTGTCAGAAGGTGAAATTGTGTGAAGGCTTAAAATGTGCGTGTACATTATGCATTTATCCACAACAAATAAATTAAACGAACATATGAAGACAAAACAACTTGAAGAAATCAAGGAAAAAACAACGTAGTTATAGATTTCAACAATAACATGAATTTATATATATATATATTTGACATACACAAAGTGATGATAGGTTGCTTGTTAAATGTGGCAAGTGAGATAAGATTGCAAAGAGTGGTCCATGCAGAGATTTGGTGAATGAATATTGATGGTTTAAGTTTGTGAAATTAAAACAGTTTAATTTCTGCAAGGTAAAATGTAAATTGTGTGAGTTCAAATAATAGTGTGTCTGTGTGTGACAATTGTAAGTGTTGATTCTAGTTAGGAAGAGTTGTGTGCCTTTGACTGATATGCTAATGTTGATTAAATGTACAATTACTATTTCGTAGTGATAATGTCCCTTTTTTTTAGTAAATTTTAAGTTAAATTTCTTCACGCGGCAATAGTAGTGCTAGCTGTGTTGAGTTTATGAGAGGCTTGTGTTGTTATTGGCACGTGTGGAGTCTGCTGGCATCTCTCGAAACTCAGTGTCTGTCTGACTTGAATTAAGTCGAGCGATTCTTTTTTTTTTTTTATTATAGATTTTTGGGTTTTCAAATAGGCTCCAGACACATGCGCGGAAGAAAAGGATTTGTCTCAACTTGCTACATTTTTGTGTCCTTTTAACCAATGGGAAGTTGAAAAGTGAAGTGATGATTGGATAAGGTTAATTTGGGGAAGAGTACATCTTCCCGTAGTGGGGTGACGGGCAAATATGGACGATTCCATAAGTTCCACGAGCCAGATTTGCAAGGAAAGAAATTGTTAGCGTAGAACTTACGGCTACATCTAGCCAGCTCAATTGTAAATTGGTGAGATCTCGCCGCCAGTCTAATATTGCGCTTAAATTTTAAAAAGTCTAGGTACCATAGCGAAGAGCTCACCCGAACAATTACTATGAAAGTATTTATACAAAAGGTAGAGAGGGAGAGAGGCAACTTTACGGTGATGGGAAAGTCGAGTTACCAGATCAGGACCAATAATATTGCTGATTCTTCTTTTCATTTTACCAAGGAGCTCAAAGTAAATAGCAGGGCCACCGGACCATTATGAAGCAGCAATGTTGTAAGCATGGACGAATGGTAGACTTATAGATATGTATGGTAGATTATGGGGAGAAAAATCGTCTCGCACGACACGGTGCAACTACCAGATATTATATTTATACTCTACATAAGATATGCAAATCATAGACTCCAAACAAATTTGAAATTTGATATTTGCTCTATGCCGTTAATAACGTGACAAAATTTAAATATTCACAAGCGATACGGTATGAAAGAATTAAAGTTCATTGTTCGATTTTTATTGATATTTCTTTTTTTGTACATGTAATTTAAATCTTTATTAATATATATATATATATATATATATATATATATATATATATATATATATATATATAAGGGAGAAGGGAGAAGAGAGACAACGATCTATTATTTGCTGTTTTTTCTTTCTTTATGACGCGCCATTTTGATCAACTTTAAAATTGCTAACACACTGAGTGGCTTAAAGAAGTTGTTTCTTTTTTCATAAGGTCAAAAAGTATTTATTTCTTTTATTATTTAAAGGTCTGAAATATTTCTCCAAATCTATTTTTTCTGTTCATCTGCAAAAAAGATCAATTTCAACGGCACAAGACTATTATCTAGTTACTTAAAGTCTGAAGAAATATTCAAAGCATGCCTATTCGTCATTATTGTTAATTCTTTCACACGTCACTCGTTATCACATTTTTGCGTTGTGAAGTACACTAAATGTTTTGATAGATATGGTAGGCGTAAGATCTTTTTTAAGTGGTTAATTGTCAGACATTTTTTTTTTTTAACTTTTTTTGCATCTTAATTTTAATTGATTTTCATTGCTGTTAGTTGATATTACTATTATTATATAATCTTAAAATCAGTTATATTACATATAGCGACGATTGGAGCAGAAAAAAAAATGAATATATAGCTTTTATAGTTAGATTTGGTTTCTGGCCAGCGTAAATCTCATGTGGCTTAAATGGGAGAGCAGTTGTTACGGAAACCAAAATGATGCGAGTTGGAGTTTTGCCACGAGATTCCGACTCTCGCTGTTAACTCATCATTTGAATAGTTGCAATGAAAAGCAACTGAAATTAAACCAAAGAAATATTAAACAAAAATCTATAATAGTTATGAGTTACGCTTGCGTAATTAAAAGAATATGTTTGCCAACAATTACTAAATCTCGAAAGATAATTTTAGTAAAACTGGAGAAAAGATGCAGTTTAAGAGTTGATGCGTTTACTGACGAGAAGTTCGGCTGCCAAAAAATGGTAACGAATTGCACGAAGTTGGGTGCCTCTCATGACTCTCATAATGCAGCCATTATTGATGCCAATTTCTCACCAGTTCCAGACAGAAGAGCATGTGTGAGCATTTGTAAATGTTGCTTATTCCAACTGCTGATATCATGGATTTAAGAAGAGACATATTGTTAGGAAAATCAAGACTTTCTCCCTCTCTTTTCGAGACTTTTTCTCTCTCTCTTTTCAAACCTTTTTCTCTCTTTTCAAGACTTACAGTAAGCAACTAGATGATGTGTCTTCTGTACAACTGAGAGTGATATGTTTATATAGAAGTTATCAAAGACTAACATATAGAATAGTTTTTTTTTTCCTTTTTCTGCATGACAACGCTAAATAAAATAGAGGAATTTGTGTGTTGAATATTTTGTTTTGAATAGCATAACTTTTTCAAGTTTTGCTGGAATGTGTGATGTCTCTCTTCGAGACCATTTATATCATAAAATTTCAACCTCAATTATATATATATATATATATATATATATATATATATATATATATATATGTGTATATATATGCATTGTCGGAGTGTTGTTCACATCTTCGTTGCTATATTCACGATGTTTCGGCCTTTGTACGGTCCAGCCTTCTTCAGGTGATTGGAATTTCGTCCACCCGGGTAGATTGATCTAGTTTCACGTGCCATTCCTCTTCCGGGCGTCTCAGTTATCTCCCTTTAACTGAACTCTCCAAGTTTTTGTTCACCACTGAAGTAGCCAGGTATTGAACGCACAACTCTTTGAGTCAAGTCACTGGATTCAATCAACACTTTTATTCCATGGACCATGTGTCTTTGAGAGCACATAGCTCAGTGAATAAAACGATCCGAACAATGTAAATAGTTTAAATAATTACAATACCCCATCTCAGAAATATATATATATATATATATATATATATATATATATATGTATGTATGTTATGAATTTCAAATATCTTAAATTGCTTAATCGAAAAAGAATGATTTTAGATATGATAGTTTTCTTCACTTGCAGCTAGTGAAGAAACGAGCATTACCTTGAATAACATTTCAATCCTTTGTCGTAGTTATATTTACAAATTTGTGAATTGATTTTGTAATAAAAGTTAATAGTTATCTTTGAATTTTATGAGTAAAATTTGTTTAACATGGTTAACATTGTAACAACCGGAGTTGAACACTCCTGAAATGCAAATGAAAAACAATCTCTTTTTACCTGTATATTGGATCAAAAAAGCTCTGTTATATTCTCGTCTAAAAAATAAATTTGCAAAAATTCAAAACGTTTCAGCGAATGAGAAAATTCAAACTGTAGCCAATAAGATTAATTTTAGAAAAAAATCCAATTGAAAGTTAAAAAAAAAATTAGTTTATCAGTGCCTGCTGTAACGTTCAAGGAAACACGTCAGATTATTCCACAGAACATTAATTGTATTTTCAACATATTTGTCTATCAGGCTTTAGATAAGAACGGGCTGCGGCTTTAGATATATCAAAGGCTGTTGACAGGGTTTGGTATGCTGGCTTTCTCCATAGACACGTGGGCTATGGTGTCTCTGGCCGAATATTTGACTTAACAAATCGAGTAAAAAAGTTGAATGGCTATGCATCTAGATCATTTCACATTAATGCGTGTGTTTCCTATGGCTCTATCCATGGACTTATGTTTTTCTTATCTTCATCAACAACCTTACCAATGTCAAAAACTCACAACTAGGTATTTATGCTGGTGGCACAATTATTTACTCCTGTCTTGAAGTGAGTTCGATAGGTCCAACAAAATAATTTTAAAAAAAATGAATGGACCGCATTTTCATCTTCGACTCTATGCTCAATCGTAACATTTTTGAAAAAAATGAAAAATGTATTGTTTATAATACATTTGGGAACGAAAACGTTCCTAGGAAAAACGAAATAAGCTCCCAAGAACCACTCCAAAAGCCATTCAGCATCCAAAGAAGGAGACGCTGTGTATCTCGTGTGATTGGAAGGGCATTGTATATTACGAGCTCCATCCTCAAAATCAGATTCAGACAAATACTGTTCACAATTAGACAAAATTAAAGGCAGCAACCAATGAAAAGTGTCAAGAACTGGAAGAGTAATTTTTATTTAATATTCTTAGGAAAACAAAATGAGACATCATTAATCACTCCAAAAGCCAGTCAACATTCAAAGAAGTTGATGCTGTGTATCACGTGGCATTGGAATGACATTGTAAATTACATCCTCAAAATCAGACGTTGAATTCAGACAAACACTGTTCCTAACTGAACTAGTAAAAGGAAGCAATCAATGAAAAACGGCCATCAGAAATGTGTTGTCTTCCATCAAGACAACGCCACACCTCACATCCATCTCTTTGTAGACCCGGCAGAAATTGGAACAGCTTGACTTGGATGTCCTACGTCATCCGCCGTACTCCCTTGATTGCATACCTTCGGATTATCAAGTTCTGTGAAGATGGAATCATGGAGCTACCTCACAGATAAGGAAAGGTAATAGAACAAAATGGCACGTATGTGATTGAATAAATCGACGTACAAACATGTAAATATTCTCTTTGAAATTCGCTTAAAAATCTATAAAGTTTTATTCAGACCCTATATATATATATATATATATATATATATATATATATATATATATATATATATATAGTGAACATTGAAGTCAAACTTTAGAGGCGACAGTCTGTTTTGTGCTAGACACAATCGTCAGGCCTGAAACAGACTGTCGCCTTTAAGTGTTGACTTCAATACTCACTTTTATATTTACACTCGCTCTATCTTAAGATTATATTTCTTCATATATATATATATATATTTCAGTTGCTGGTGCTTTTCTCTAACCACAAACAAGTTCAATGAAATTTTCTAAATTATATTTTATTTAAATCATGTTACATTCTTTGTAAACGTTTTCCTTTGAAAAACTGCAAACGTTCAGCGCCGAGGATTTTTTTTACAGAGTTAAGACAATAGAAAAGAATCGAAGTTGAAAATAATGAGTTCCTTGAAGCAGAATAAGTCTTTAGAAAAAAAAACGGAGACATCAATTTATCTGTCAGTCTTATCTATCACTGTACGGATGCGTGTTTTATTTATTTGTTCAGCCTAAATCTCCTTTAATTTACGTTATTTTCGGAACATTACGAAAAGAAACGAGAGAAAGATAAGAGAGAGAGAGAGAGAGAGAGAGAAAGAGAGAGAGACACACACAGAGAGACTGAGACAGAGAGAAGGAGGGAGACAGAGAGAAGGAAGGAGAGAGAGAGAGTGAAAGAGAATAAGTAGGAGGAAGTTAAGAAAATACTTACTCGCCAAGTTTAAGTCGACAAAGAAAGGAAGTTAAAAAAGATATTTATCCACTATAAACAGCTGAAAAGAGAGATTTCTACTTGAATTTCTGGGATTAGGAATTATCATTCAAAAACTAAGCAAAGTATTAAAGATATAGAAACATTTTGTTAGAAACAAAGAAAAGTGTTGAACTGCTACGTAATATCTAATCTCCTATACAGTAATAAATGTTGGGCAATCTGCTTAGAAATGAAGCAGAAACTAGAAACGATAGAAATATGGCTCTGACAACGAATGTTTAGAGTTGCATAGGCATTTGAACAACGAAAGGAAAATAAAAACTAAAAGGTCACTAATGATTACAATCAGAAAGGGACAGTTGAAATTTCAGAGACATATAATGAGGAAAAAAGGCCTAGAGAATTGAATACTCACAGGACAATTATGTCCTGTGAGTATTCAATTCTCTAGGCCTTTCCTCTAGGCCTGAAGGCAACTGAACGAAAAAGCAAATAATTTACTTGTCTACCGGATTTGTGTGAATGGACAGCAGAACAGGGTCAAAGAAGTTATAGTAAAAAATCAATATCTTGAACAAGACAAGAAAATGTGGAGAGCCATGATCACCTACATAATGGGTGTTTGCATATGAATGGCAGAACAGGGAAAAGAGAGATGGCAATGAATAAAAAATATTTAGAACAAGAAAGGAAGGTGTGGAGAGCCATGATCGCCCCCGTCCTGACGGGACATGGTACATAAAAGAAGAGGGTCACCCTTTTCCTTGGAATACTTTAAGCTAGGGCGAAACGTGATATTTAGAACAAATGTAGGAAGGAATGTATCAACTTTCGAATGATGATAGAGTTTTTTCCTTTTCAAAAAATATCAAATAACCAACATAAACAAAATAGAATGACGGGACAAATTTTTAACTTTACGACAGCATTAAATAATCTTCTGTAACATTTTTTGTAACATTTCACTCATCAGCAAAAGTTAATGCATATACTCATTAATGGCAAACTATTTCTTAAATTCCATCATAATTTTTTTTTATATATAAACTTTGAGTTTATTCGATGTTTGATATGATCGTAAGAATTACGTCAGAAAATCGATGATAAAATCTGTATGAATAAGAGTTGGGTGTCTATCATTTATACCGTCAAAGCGATAAGCTTTAGTGATTTTAGGAGATGGAAGACATCGAAAATATCTGTTTTGTAAGACGACCAGATAACTGAGATGAAATTGAGGATAGAAAGCCAATCCAGGGCCAGGGTAATGTGGGATAACTAGAGCAGAGAAAATAAGTTGCGTAAAAAATCCACTCAAACATCTGTTTCTACTGCGATTACATATAATTTTCTCAAGTAATCTAATGAAATACGTGAAAATCCGTTGGAAATCTTCATCATTAAAACCCTACTAACATTTTAACTAACATTTATCTATCTATCTATCTATCTATCTATCTATCTATCTATCTATGTTTAAGTATATCTATCTATCTATCTATCTATGTTTAAGTATATCTATCTATCTATGTTTAAGTATATCTATCTATCTATCTATCTATGTTTAAGTATATCTATTTATCTATCTATATCTATCTATCTATCTATGTTTGATATTATCAATGTTCTTGAATTAATGTTCTTAGTAAATTTGTCTTCTGGTGGGAAAAATCACATCGAGTTTGTAAGTCATAATTCGTTCATGACGAGAGATGTACGTTATTTTGTCAATATTCTTTATAAAATAAAAAAGTGAATACTTTTTACTGAATAATTTATAAATGACTTGCATTTACTCCTGAAAATAAATGAAAGTCTGAAGATATATTTATAGCATTTATGATTTCGTCCTTCACTTTCTTAACCATTACAGTTGTGTAACCGGTTGCGACAAAAAGGCCGTTGATCAAAAACGATTATGATAAGTGGAAATTCCGAATAAAAAAAAGATGAAATTAATTTCCATTAATATCGACTACAAGAATCACATCAAACAAATACATAATTCCGAGTCATAATTTGTTTTCCTAATAATGAAATCCTGAAATGATGTGCGTGTACTATAACGGATAGCGGAACGAAAAATGGAATCGGTGAACCAGGTTCAAATCCTGGACTAGTATTTTGTACAAATGCCTTTACCTTCTGTCTCCCCAACTATGGGTTAAATAAATAGCCGGATTGATTGGGTTCTCTATCCTTGGATGGCAACCAGTCTAATAGAAGGAAAACTCTGATTTCTAAACCGTGAAGAAAGAAAACGGAAAACCACTCCACTATCTCTTCTCAAGAATTAATGGCAATTCACAGATAATAGAGAAAAGGGAATTGTGGAGAATCCTGAAGGGACATGGCATTTAATTAAAACAAATAATGAAATAAATAAATAGTTTGTACATTTTTAATTACAAAAAATATATAAATAAAATACTTTGAAATATAAACTTTAATGATCGGGAAATAATTTACATTTGAAAAATTGAACAGTTTAAAGTTTTAGCTTGAGAAGTTATGTTTGATACATTTTTCGTTCAAGTAACCGATAATAAACACATTTTGATAGGAAAACTGAATTTTACTTTTCTTGAAGAATATTCCACATAAACTATTATTTGATTCAATTTAATTATTTAATTAATATCTAATATTTTTGTCGCGGCCGCCTTTAGTCGCTCCCTAAAGTGTAAGAGAACAGGGCACTTCAACTTTGTACTTTTGATCGTGTTCCCTACACGCTGGGAATTTAGCTTTAGAGATGAGCTAATTACCTTTTTAGTTCTGTTAATGTTACGAAACTAGTCGTAATACACCTTAGCATTTTTGGACGTTTTTAGCATTTTTGCGAGACCGTGTCTGTGGTTGGTCTTCCTTAACATAACACAGCGACTTCACGCCGAATTTTAGAGGGTCGGTACCCAGGCGCCTGAACGGTCGGTACGCAGGCTCCTGGACTTTGTGGACCCGGGCTGCGTATTAAGTTACGCTCCCATTATTTTTTTTTGTCTGCCAACTGGACGAGAGTTGGATCTATCTCTCTTTACTTCGCCTCTTTACTTCTGGCTCCTTGCCCATGTTCGACCCTCGGCATTCCGTCCCTGCTGGCTGCCCTCGCGTCGTTCGTAACCTTTCCCGTACACTACGGTTATGATTATTACGGGAGGTTTCGATATCGGACTCGACCAGCAGGACACGCAACGCCAGCACCGGACATTCGATATGCCTAAAAACATCGCAACGCCAACCTCCCGTTCCTTCCTGACACGTCCAGTTCGAAGCCAGACCAGCTGACCAGCAGCGATCATCTCCGACGACCAGCAGCGATCATCTGCAACGACCAGTATCGATCACCTGCAACGACCAACCAACCTTTCCAGACCAATATACCCCATCATCTTTTCTTTATAAAATAAACTTAGCATTAATCATATATATCCTCATTCTGTTGTCCATTTTGTTTTACCTTGTCAGATTTAACGTCTTTTATACGAAAAACGTTAGCAGGCCTCTTGTGACCTTCATCATTTACGATACGGTGGCACTCGGGCCGTGGTTTCATATCGCGCCCCCTCCAGGGGTTCCGCTACAAACTAACCATTAGAATTAAACTGACTTTGAGCGCCACTCTTATCGTTCATATTCCACAATTTGAAAGAAGACATACAAACGTCATTCCATTCAGCAAATGTTGACGTTTAACGCCATCTTTGTTCACGTTAATAATTCAAAAATATCTTTGTATCCTTTTTGCTCGTAGACGTGCATTAATTTTCTGCATTTCCCAATAGATTTTCTTTTCCGATCAGATTTACTTAGTGGAGTAGCTATAGAGGGGAGGGGGGGGGCAGATGGATCAGTTCACTATGTATAGGACTTTTATGGGGACTTTTGTGTTTTTTAAGTATATCTATCTATCTATCTATCTATCTATCTATCTATCTATCTATCTGTAGGCTATAAGCCTGTATAGGCTATATTAAAATAAAAGTGGTTTTAATGTCAAGACAGTATTCACAGTTGAAGGATCTTTTCGATTTCGAGTAACTTAAACTTTGGCATTTACCTAACAAATCTATAATTCTTTACTTTGCCAACTCTGGTGTTTCAGAGTCAATAAATCTTTATACGAAAGAAATCCAAACAAATTCGAAATAATTTTTAATATCTGTGTGCTTAAAAATTAATCATATAAATTTTAAGTAACTTAAAAGTCAGCTTTTCAATAAATGATATTCAGCTGAATATTTTTCTGCTTATCTCTTTTAAGTAAACCTTTGTTTTTTTTTTGTTTTTTTTTTTTACATCTGTAGAGCAAGTAAAATGTTTATAAAAATAGAGCGTTTTGTCTTGGAACAGCGCCTTATTAGGTTTTTAGATGTAGAAAAATTGATGTGATCGCAAAATAACTACCGGAAAGTCAAGGAAATCGAAAAAAGATTGAAGGAATTATTCTGGTTTATTCATGTACTTTATTCAACAGCTAGACATGACGGCTACTACCACCAGATTAGGTTTTCTCTTTGTAGCATTTAACGAGTGGACTGACGAGCACGCAACACATTCCTCTTTTATAGAGTTTAAAATTCTTTTTCTAGTCTGCTTGATTAGAAAAAAGTCATTATTCGTATCTCTTAACCCACACTCGTCTTAAACTAAAATATTTTGGTGGACACTAATCACTGATAAGATATAGATAAGAATGTCGCCCCTAAGTGTGATTTGAGCAGTCATGTTCAATTAAAGTGTCATCATTCAAACTCCTAGATTGTTTATTATTGATTGCCAAAAATTCCCATTTTCTCTTTATTCATGTTGGGCTGACGAATTTTAAGTTTAAGTTTGATTTTTTAATGTTTAAATGTCAATAGATTTGTTTGCTTTTTTTCTTTTGCTACGTACGCAAAATTATTCTTACCGGTTGACCAGAGTTGATAGTTATTTCAAATTCCCGGGGAAAACATGCTATCAAATGAAATTCTGCGCATAGTATTACCTCATTACATCACTCATACTGATGATAAACTATAATAGCTGAACGCGAATTAGATTAGCGAAAGATGCATTCCAAAAGCTAAACAAAATACTAAGAAACAGGAACAAATTTCAACTAACATAAGTATTAGCTGAGCCTCGTACAAATTTGTTCTATATGCGAAATTGATTTCGAGACGTGGAATTTCCTTCTATATCTAAATATTTCTCTCCCTGTTACATGTTTTCTATATGTGGAATTTTCTTCTATATTTAATTGTTTTTATGATACTAAATTGTTTTAGATATTGAATTTAAATTTAATTCTTTACAGAATTTTTAAATAATTAGTATAAATATCATATAATTTATATTATAAACTTAGTATTTAAAACTATATTAATATTAGATTGATATAATGAGATTGGTTATATTTAAATGAAATTAATATATTAATAATTTACTTAAATCTTTTACTGTAACTTTTACTATATAGTTAAAGATGTAGTATTGAATGGATTAATATTAACATTTTTAAAAATTCTTACTCCTATTCTATAATAATTTTAAGCTACTCTTTAAAATGTTACATAGCCATTTTTTGTTCATTCTTCTTCCTTGCACAGATGTTGATAGGTTACATTTCTGTCAGCATCCTTTTTCAACCATCACGTTTATCTGTACCCAACTCCACCACAGCCACATTAGGGCCCTTAATCATCTTTATCTATATAACTCTCCTCCTCCTCTTCTATAGGCCAATTCTTACTCCCTCTCTTTTTATTCTTTCCTTTTTCTTTTTTCCTTCTTTCCTTCCTTTGCCTTTCAAATTTCCTGTGAAGAAACGTTTTTCTTCATTTTAGTAAATGTATTTGCATTGATAAGTCCAGGGAAGAACTACTTTCCCATGGACAAAATGATCATCTGTATGAGGTAAATCGTTTAGTTCTCATTAATCGTAATTCACTTATATGCTCGATAATAAAAATTATGTTGATCTCTCTTTTGTGGATCAGTTTTAATATTTTATATTATTAGGATCTACTTGGATTACTTACTCACGGATCTTTTTACCTATATATATATATATATATATATATATATATATATATATAATCTTTTCTCTCCAAGCAAGGCGATAATGTCACTGAGATGTAAGTGAAAGTAAAAGAAGACGAGAAAAAGTTTAGTGAGGAGAAAAGACAATAAAAGAACAGACTTCAGGAATACAGAAGAGTGTGCATTTAAACAATTTCAAGATTTAGATGACAGGGAAGCAAGAAACGGGATTAATTAAGAAGTGCGAGAAAAGAATCTAGTGGGATAGTGACTGAGCTCGCGATGTCAGGTCAGGACCGGTAACCGTATAGATCCTTCTTTGGGCTTTTTCAAGAAACTCGAGATATGTAGCAGGTGCACTAAACCAAGATGCCACAACAATATTCACGGACGAATGGTAAATTTAAAAACGTGCAAGGTGGATTCTGGTAACCAAAATTATCTAACACGACACGGTGAACCATTTTCCCTAGCAGCAGATCTAGTAATTGATTCAATATAATCATTTCACTTGATATCAGTGGAAAACGTGAGCCCGAGAAGGCGTAATGAGTTGCTCTCATGGAGGTTAGCATCAGCCATACTGATGGAAGCCAAAAATGGTTTTCTAAAATGACTAAAAGACAGTAGTTTCATTTTGGAGGCGTTACAGTTTACAAGACATTTCTTGCCCCAGCTAACAACTGATTTAATGTCTTTTTTAAGATCCGCTGACAGTTTTACTTTATCAGAATAACTATTAAAACAGTCGTGTCGTCAGCCTAATTACTAAGTTGTAATCTGATGACATCAGGGAGGTCGTTGACGAAGATAAAAACTACGTAAATCTAAGGATAGAGCCCTAGGAGAGATGCCGGATTTACCATTGTACTTAGGGGTGCTTAAGCTCAGGGCCTCGTTGGCCGGGTGTGGTGGGGGCATATTCCTCCCATGACTGTGTAGGCATGTCGGGCCTACCTTATTCAGGGCCCAAATAAGTGGCCTCATAACTTAACCAGCACAGGGCCTCATTTATCCTAAATCCAACATTGCCTGGGGGACAACCATATTAATGTGGAAGGATCTAAAAAAGTAGCCGTTCCACACAATTTACATTTCAATTTGTTAAGAAAGATTGAATCCTCAAAATTTCGCCTACAGTCACCATAGCCCTTCTACTTGTGAAGTATAACGGCATGCGAAACCTTATCAAACAGCTTTGAGATATCTAAAGCCACAGCCCGAGCTCTGCCGTTCTTATGTAAAGCGTGTCAAACTTTTTCAGTAATAAGCGCTAACGGCAGTTGACATAGAGAAGCGAAAGCCGTATTGTTTGTTTGAAAGGCCGTGTGATGTGAGATGTTTAATCAATTTGGTGTTGATTAGAGTATGTAGTCCTTTTCTAAGGAGTGGTAGAAAATTAATTCGAGGAATCAGAATGTTTACCAGAGTTCTTAAAAGTATAAACTACAGAAGAGGATTTCCAACAAGATGGGGAGCAAGAAATAGCAAGGCTTTTGTTGTAGAGATTTGAGAGAACAGGAACCAGTTTAGGAGCACATTTATTTAGGACAAGTATATGGATACCATCAAGTCTGCGTGAATTGTGGAAATTTATTTTGGCGAAGATCGCAGAAACCATGGACGGAGTTATATGCACATATCACGCATTATAAATTCGGTTCTAGGAAATTCAAGCAAATATATTCCTGGTGAACCAAGAGAGGAGTTGAAAGAGAATTTACGAGCAAGGTATTTTGCTTTATCAGCAGTAAATGACAAAACTTAAAACTGACGGGAGGAAGAATTCAAAGTTTACCCTTGTTTAATATACTTTTACAAAGTCGCCTGTAATCACGAGAACCAAACTAGTGTGCGGCTATACGATGTATCATTCGGTTAGTGAATATCGACTTTGAATATCGCTGGAGTAGACGCTTACAATTATTATGAACGGATACAAAGAGTCGTCTGTCATGATCCGAACTATCTCGTTGGTCTAGCCGAAAGAAGTGATTACTGTGAATTATAACGGCGGAACAGGCAGGCGTGTACCAAGGAGACGATTGCGATTTCATTTGATATTTCTGCGATGGCACGAACGCATCGATGCCGGCTTTTTACCCAAGTGGCATAATCGTCAGTTGGAAGATTAAAAATTTCATTACAATGAGCGGCGCGAAGAAAATATACACAAACCACACACACACACACACACACACACACACACACAGACATTGTAATTAGTCGCTGTTTCTGTCTGTAGCAGATTGCGAACTAACATGTTTTATTTCCTACTTATTATTATGAACTTAAAGAAGCTTATCAACTAATGAGTGGCAGACACTACGTATCTGCCATTCATAAGATGGTGATTCCGGAATTACGTTATTCCTCCATTTCTCTTTTGACTTTCTACTACTTCTTTTCCAAGATACCATACTGTTGCGGAATCTAAGATTATCAGAAGGTGATTTTTTGTGAAGGCCAAGAATGTGCGTGATCGTAATGCATTTATCCACAACAAATAAATCAAACAAAAATAAATAGACAATTCAACTTCAAGAAATTACTGAAAACAACGTCATTAGAGATTTCAACAAAAACGTGAATTTATTTATATATTTGACATACACAAAGTGATAATAAATTGCTTGTTAAATGTGGCAAGTGAGATAAGGTTACAAAGATTGTCCATGCAGAAATTTAGTGAGTAAAGGTTGATAGTTTAAGTTTGTTTGTGGAATTAAAATAGTTTAAATCTGCAAGGAAAATTGTCAATTGTGTAAGCTCAAGTGATAGTGTGTATGTGTGCGACAACTGCTAGAGTTGATTTAAGTTATGAAGAGTTGTTCGCCTTTAACTGATAGGTCAAAGTTGATTGAATGTACAATTACTGTTCTGTAGTGATAATGTCACTTTTTAGTAAATTGTAAGTTAAGTTTCTTCATGCGGCAATAGTTGTGCGAGTTGTGTTGAGTTGTTGAGAGGTTGGTAGTGGTTATTGAGTTAGTGTGTTGGCACGCGTGGGGTCTGCTGGTATCTTTCGAAACTCGGTGTCTGACTAACTTGAATTAAGTCGAGCGATCCTTTTTATAGATTTTCGAGTTTCCAAATAGGCTCCAGGGACCTGCGAGGGGAAAAAGGTTTGTCTCAACTTTGCTACATTTTAGTGTCCTTTTAACCAATGGGGGATTGAGTTTGAAAAAGTAAAGTGATGATTGGTTAAAGGTTTATTTGGGGAAGAGTGCATCTTCTCGTAGTGGGTGACAGGCAAATGTGGTGGATTCCATAATACCCCCCCCCCACCAAGATTAATGGTCATGGGCCACATGAGCATTAATATGTATAGTAGGTTGTAAATTTGGTAGACTAGTGCACATGTCTACCCGACCTTGTTCGGGTAGGTGGATTATCTACCGATTTAGTTGCTGAAGAGGGGTGTGCACAAGACGATTCTGAATCAAGAATTGTTTTTGGTGTGGTCGAAACCTTGTTGTCCGGATTAATGTAAGCTGGCTTCAACCTATCGATGCTGACTGTTGTATGTTTCCTCGCGAGATTGATAATGAAATACTTTGGTGCTCGAGAGATGACTTGATGTGGTCCAGTGTAGTTAGAAGTTAGCGGCTTGCGGACAGAATCTCGACGAAGGAAATCAAAGTCAGTTTTGTGTAGATCAGCGGGGACATAGTACGGTTTGTGATAAGCCCGAGTTGGTGTATAAATAACGTCAGACATCTTTTACCGAAGATCGGTGACGAAATGACTGCAAGAAAGATTTTCGGTTACTGGGCTGGAAATTTGTCCGGGCAAAGGTCAGAGATGTTCCGAAAACTAACTCGGCACTAGTGCACTTTAGGTCCTCTTTAAAGGTGTTGCGCAGAGCTAACATAATGAAAGGTAATTTCTCGACCCACGTTCGGCCATTTGTCGATGCTGTCAGCATAATTTAGTTGTCGGTGGAATCTCTCCACCAGGCTGTTCGCACAAGGATAATATGCGTGGTGGAAATGTGTTTAATTCCCAGAAGATTGGTAAATTCACTGAAGAGTGTACATTGGAATTGAGGACCCCTATTGGTGGTGATCACCGAAGGGCACCCGAAGATAGTGATCCAATGCGTAAAGATGGCATTGGCGACTGATTCAGCTGTTATAGATCCGAGCGGTACGGTGACTGGCCATCGTGTGAAACGGTCGATGATTGTAAGGATGTACTCAAAACCGTCTACGCGTTCCAATGGACCAACTAAATCCACATGCAAGTGAGTAAAACGTCCGTCTGGATTGGGGAAAGTTGACACCAGTGCTTTCAGACCTTATTCACAAATGAATTAAATTATTTTAGAAATGTTTGAATTTTAGAAAGTCATGGTAAAAATATTTTTTTTACATCTGTTACCCCTCCCCTTACTTAATTTTATGCAAACTCGAAGATTCAACTTTGTGTGATTTTTTGAATATATTAGTGAAAAGCAGAAAACTGAAAAATATAAATCATCGATTTTTTTTGTATATTTTAACCCGGTTTTTACAAAAAGAAAAAAAATACAAAACCCAATAAAACTAAGACACTATTTAATTAAAAAAAGCTTTTAATGGCTCTTACGAATAATATATAAGGACACTATAGGACTCTGAACCCAAAATATTTTTTCCGATGAAAAATGAATTTTTACAAATTTTACATGTTTTTGTATTCATAAAATTTTTTTTCAATTTTAAATACAAAATATGATAAAGTTGTGACGATCATCACACACATACATACATACTTATGCAAATTCAAATTATACAACCACAAGCATTCATTGGATTGTAAA